AAAAACAAATTCTCAGTCTTCACTTACCTTGGCCCAGAGCCACTGAAGCCAGGAAAGACAGCAGGAGTGCCACCTTATTCAATCCCAACATGGTGCCACACTTTCAGTTACAGATGACTTTTGTTTTTCTACAGCACAGACATAAACTTAAGAAAGAAAAAAAAATAAAAAAATAAAATGTTGATTCTTCAGCTTTCAGATACAGCTGAGTGTAACAAGGTGTGAGTGATGCTGCTGGTCGAGCAGAGCAGAGCCACTGCTCGTCCTCATGTGAGTTGAGTTGCTGAGTTGGAGACAGGAGCTCAGGCGTTTTTAAAAGAAGGGGCATCGGGAGAACACACCAATCCAGCCCCTCTCTGCTCACCATTGGCCAGTGAAATGTAACATCTGGGTCCCCCATATCATCTTCCAAAAAAAGGTGAGGGTATGGTGGGGGCAGAGAGGGAGCGACACACACACACACAGAGGGAGGCAGAGTGTGTATGTGGGTGCTGTTTTCCTCTTTTTCCAACCAAGGTCTCATAAGTTCAGTCTTATTTGCAACAATATTTTCATATTTCTTTGCTTTGTAATCTTATTTAACAGTGTCCTTACCTTATATCCACAGAGCAGGTGTGTGTGTTCAACATTAAATCTGTGTCTCTGCTTCCTCTGTGAGTCACAAACAAAAATAGAAGTACTTTCTTTTTTTTTAGCCTAATTAAACAGTACTTTTATTTTTATATTTTATTTTCCATCTGCTGTTGCTTTATTTAACCATTCAACACAGGAAACTAGTTTGAAACAAGATTTTCTTGTCATTCACAATAAAAACTCAAGGCTTTGTTTCTGTGTTAAATGAAGGAAGACATTTTTAATCATCTTCTGTCTTTCTGTCTGTCTCTGACTCTCTGTATCTGTCTCTCCAGCAGACACAGGACAGTTCCAGATGCTCCTCTCCCTCTGGTTCAACTTCTGGTTCAGTTTTGTAACTTTTTAACAGTCACTGATTGCGGGCCGATGCACTGCCAAAGAGTGGAAGTGGCGTCATATGGCATGCCATACAGGAAAAACTTCTCAGAACGCAGACATGAGACGTGCTTATGAAGTGCAAAGTACTCGTTGTACTTGTTGCTATTTAGTAACAACGCTTGTAAAATCCTTGGAACTTAAAAATGGTGCGTACATTCAAACTCTTTTACAAATCCCTCTAGATTGAAAATAAAAACGAACCTTTTTCTTTTCAAAATGACTGCACCCGTTCAAAAAGATGTTCATACATTCACTTCGGTCACATTTTGAACGTCTGTCCTGCCTTGATAAATGTTGGTGCGACAATGATGGAAATAAGTCCAGGATTTTATTGGTCAATCCCTGACAACATTTTCACAATTCAGTGGTGTAAAGTAACTGAACACATTTACTAAAGTACTGCAATCACTATTTTGAGGTACTTTACTTGAGTATTTCCATTTTCTGGCACTTTTACTCCACTATATTTCATTGAGAAATATTGTATTTTTTAAATCCATTACATTTATCTGACAGCTGTAGTTGCTGGTTACTTTTCAGATTTTCCATACATTTACAGAATATATAATATACCATACAACACACTCTTAAAGATTACACCAGTGTTTCCAATCTTTTTCGCTTGTGAACCTTTACAAAAAAGCAGCATCTTGTTGGGGTCACTTTGTTTAGTTTCACACTTGTTGTTAGCACTTACACCAAAGAAGCAATTCAGCTCTAAACCTCTCATTTGGTTTCATTTAAAATAAAAGTCCACAAAATGCAAAATACAGATTTATGTAACAGAATTTATCTTTTTATTCTTTCTTCAACTATTTAATTAATTAAATAATCATCTCACAACCCCTCAGCTTTAACTTGTGACCCTTTGGAACGGCCAGACCTTTAGGTTGGGAACTACTGCACTAAACTAGTTAACTTCATCCCTCTGCTCCCACCAAGCAGTTGATCCAGTTTGCAAAGTCTGGCTGGAGGGCTGTGACGTATCCCGCGAAGGGGCTTTGTCAGCTCCTCAATCTCTTGTCTGCTCCACAACAAGAGTGTGACAGGTGCAGGACATCGGAAAGCCGTCAAAGAGCTGGCTGAAGCATCAATGGTGGTCCCCTGCTGGTGACCCGATCAGGCTCATCAAGGTGTTCATTCTGGCTTCCCCTAAGCTGAGGCCTCACTGCAGGAGCACTCCAAGGCACCAGTGTGTCCATCAACCTGTCCATCAACTTGTATGGCAAACTGAACTCTCTGGTTTAGCAAGTGAGTATTGTGAAAGAGCTGTTGGCATCCAGGGGAGACTGGAGGATAGCCTGGAAAGACTGGATGACTGCAGGAAAGTCTGAATTGGGAGTGGGAGGCTGGTTACCTGACCCACTACTCCCGTGAAGGGACACCCTCGGCCTAACTACAAAGACAACGAAAGGAAAACAACCTGATGGGCTTCCGAGAGCCAGGCTGAAAGAAGTAACGAGTGCAACAGATCCAGAAAATGAATCTAAGATCCTTAGGAGATGCAGGTGTGGGTGGGAGAAGGTGCGCACTTTCAGAGGTCTACGAATCCGCCAGGAAGAATCCAAGAAGGAAATGTGGAGAGGGCGACCAACAGCAACCTTGCACTGCAACTGCAAGTCAGACAAGCCGAAAGCCAGGTTGCAAACCAGGGTAGGCAGATTCATTTCTTCAAGAATCCCTTAAAGCATGCTTGGCAACTACTGGAGGACAAGAGGAGCGGGAAGCAAAGTCAAACTTGCTAGGATCCCTAAGAAACAGCTTTCAGATGGCCTGGCCAGAATTGATCAGAGCCAGCTCCCTGGCTAGTAAAAAAGTTTGATGCTTTCAATTCACACTGTTCCAAAGGGTGATGTGGCCTCTGAAGTTGTGCGAAGTTCCCTCCTCAGCAGCAAGCAAAATGGATAGGCTGACAAAGTCTTACAGCAGGAAGTGGCTTGGGCTGCTGAGATGTGTGTACAACGTGAGCATCGTTGGTAGGAACACACTAGAGCTGCCACTGTGATCCATCAACTTGGGATACAAGCAAGAAGGCATGACGACTGGTGATAGCAGCAGGTACCCAGGTGTGAACTGGGTACAAGAATGTCATATATAATCATATATCAGTCACTGGAGACATTTTCAGGCATTATGAGTACTTTTACTTGTGATACTTTAAAGACATTTTGCTGATAATACTTCTATACTTTTACTTAAGTAAGATTTAGAATGTGGTGTTTGCATTTGAACATGTAATGAAGTATTTTTATATCATTATATTGGTACTTAAGTAAAGAATCTGAGTACTTCTTCCTCTGTCACAAAGGTCACAAGCAGTTTCTAGAATATTCAAGCCACTTAATATGATACATAATCATGCAATTAATCATTTTGATAGGAAGACTATAAGAGCTGCTATGTTCTCATTGAGCTAAATACTGTATGTCTTATTTCATTAAATTTGCTAATAATAAACAACTGATAATATCTCTAAATGCCCAAATAACCAGGCTCCGATGAGGAACATAGAAACATGGAAAGTAAATAACCTGAACTGCTGCAGTGATTGTTTTTAAGATTGATACTCATCACTATCAAAAGCACTGGAATCATTTTAGTTACACTGAGAAAAAATCCCTGTAAATTGTTTAAAATTTGAGCTTTTGTGTGTTGCATAATGTAAGCAATGAATTCATCTTCCTGCCTCACTGCTGTTTTCACTAAATCTTTTGACCACATTTCTTCTTCGGGTAAGACTATCTCTCACTGGATATTACAACAACTGCCGCTGTCAGTTATGATTGTTCAATTCTACAGGCTACCGGCGACTCCAAAGCTGATTACTCAACCGCTCTCATGAGTAGCACAAACGACAGAGTGGTGACAAGTCGTTGTTTCCTGACAGGGATTGGACAGGCATGAAGGACAGGACCACTGAGCGCTCAGACATATTTCTACAACCCTCGTCAGTTCTCAGATTTAATAACACAGAGCGAAAGGATTGACATTCCTTTTCACTGACTTTACTACACCCACTCACACGTGTGCACACATACACTGGGCATTAGTGCATTAGTATTCAGAAGAAGCTCCCGTGCATCATATAAATACACATTACCTCATTCATAAACAGCACAGCAGTCTCTCTTAGTCATTCTCATTGGAGCCTGCAGTGCTTAACTCAATAATGAGAGACCCGTCTTTACAGCTGATTATAGTCTGATCACATCTGTTTATTGCTTTCATTACCAAATCAACTCCAGTTGGGAACCAATAAACAGAAGTAACAGTGTGTGCTCATCTGAAAAGCGCAACACTTATTGCATGTGATGTGCATATAACACCATTTGGTAGCCTGTGATTAGTGACCATCATTTAACAGAACAAGCTGTTTTCTGGACTATCCTTGAGCAAGATGTGGAATCACTACCATGTCACCACAAGGCTAATCTGCATTCCAATTTTGAAGATCAATACATTTCTTTATTAAAGCTGGGGTAGGCAGTCATTTTCTTGGCATCAATGGGCAAATGCTCCATAGTCACCTTTCAGCATATTGTAATCTAACTGGTCTGAAAGTAAACTAGAAGTCTGCACCTCCTCTTGGTTCTGTTTTCATGAGTGGCTATGTTGAATGTTGCTAATAGTTTAGCCTTCTGCTAACTGCAGCCAAAGGCTCAGATATGGAAATCTACTGATGTTTTTCTTGTGTTGCATGTGTGTATGAGGTAGGTGTATATGCCTGTGAGGGAGAGCGTCTGTATTTTCAATTTCTGGCTTTTCTAGATTTTCTAGTTTTCTGGCCACATGTTGGCAGTGGAACAAGCTGAAAACATAAAATAACTGCCCTATCAACAATGGTTAGTCGTTCTGCTATACGTAGTTAGCCACTTTATAGTCATCTTAGCATATTGATCATTGCAGCTTTAAATGAAAACAAAACAGCATTCTTTAACTGGAACTTTTTATTATTGGACATGTAACCAAATAAAAAAAAATACATCAACTCATCTCAGCAGCACGTGTCAGTAGAAAGTTAAAATAGGAACATAAAAGCATCAGAACATGAGCATTTAAAAAATTGTTGAAAATAAAATTCCACTGGTTGGCATCATAGAAAATTCATCTTTCTTTTCTGACTGTTGAAAGAGAACATTTCTGTCTTTTGCAAAATAATCAGAAAACAGTGTAATGCTACAGCTTTTACAAGTTGACTGACACAAAAAGTCCTCATGCCATTCCCTAAAAAGACATGACTCAAACCACAGTTTCTAAATATTACCCTTCTACTGTAGCTCAACAACACGTTTGGCCAAAGTGTTGCCTGTTCTACACAACTGAGATGTTAACATTAAATCACATCAACGATCTATAAAATACAAGATAATTGATTAACTGTACGTTTTTGAAAATGAGGAGCAGCCACACTGGCTCTTGTGTTTCCCCTGTGTTACAATTCTATGAGACAGTCTGTGCCGGGATATTCTGGGAGATTAAGCTCATATTTTTTCTGGATGTCATAGGGCAGGAAGCGTCCGGCCAAGAAATGCTTCCCCGAGAAACTCATTGCGCACTTCTTTGGTGCTGTAAGTGAGATGAGAACGTCTGGGTTTATCCCGTCCTGACTTGGTTCTTCTACATCCCAACCTGAGGAACACAGCAAGAGCATTGTGATAATTTTCTGCCCACTGTGCTCACACTCAGCAGGTAGTGTATTTGGAGTATGATGAGCTCACACTGAGCCAACTGTAGCATAAGATTTATCCTCTACATGTGCCTCCAAACTTGGAAAACGTCTGCCTGGGAGCCAAGGCTCCTCAGAAGCTGCCTGGAGGCTCATTTATCATGTTGTGTTTCTGAGCCTCCAGCCTGATATCTACCGTTTGCATATGAACACTTACCTGAGGGCACATCCACACTGACAATGGGGATCTTGACTTGCTTCAGGGTGACCAGAATACCAGAGTAAGGCTCCTTAATGTTGGCACAGTCTGCCTCTGGGCCCAGCATGGCATCAATCACCAGGTTGTAGGCGTCGTTTATGAGCTGCACCTGAATACAACACACATCATTATGCACAAATGAACAGTTTAATCAGTGGTTCCCCACCTGGGGGATGGCAACCACTCCAGTGGGTCGCAAGATAAATATTAGGGGTCACAAGATGATTAAAGGAAAGGTTCAAATATTTTCAAGTGTATATTAAAACAATACTCATACGCCCATATAAAATATGTGTTGTTTGATGTAATTGTGCCTGCTCTACATACTGTATAGATGTCCCTTCAAAAAGCAACTATACTGAAAGAAATGGGGTCAAACTCCTCAGTACAGTAATCATTCTGTCCAAAAATGCATTATGATGTTCAGCTGAAATTCCAGCCATCTGAGTTAGCCAAACCATAGTGTGTCTTCCAAAGTTACAGTCTTTCCTGTGCAAGATTTCTTGTCTATTTTTTTCTTTGCTGGGCTGCATTGGAGGGCTGGTTACACAAAGAGGGTACTAGATAAACAGTAGCATTTAAAAATACCCACTTTCTTTGACTATCTCTGCAGCTAAACTGCAAAATCCTCATATTAGCTGTGGCTAATATTTTTTCAGAGAAAGAGAAGCTGGGTTTTGTCCCATTTCTTCTATTCTAATCACATTAGGAATGGATCTGTTTTCACAGCCAGTACGGAAAGAGGGACATGTTAAAGTGACCAATAACATTGTACATATTTGTGTGTGACTATTGTTTTAGGAACGACTTTTAACAGCACAAGAAAGAAAATATCAGCTTTTCAGGCTTTTTTCTTTGCTTTTTTTTCTTGTAAAATACTTGTGAGATTCACCTCTGCAGGCCTATAATTATTACTTTAATTAAACAATATGAGATTTGGATGAATTGCTCAAATGTCAAATAGACATTCCTTCATTTTCAGGGACAACCAACTGAAAAGGTTAAGAACCAGTGGTCTATATAAGATTCCACAATTTAATCAAAGCAACACACACTGTTACAAAATGACGAAAAGCACATACTTGAAAAGTTGTTTTTAAGATCACAATCAAACTCCTCAGCATGCAAACACTACTGAGGGCCATGTGCTAAAATGTGTTCTTCTGTAAAAATGCTGCTGACCTCTGTGGGGAGATAGGAGAGGAAGGGGATGTCCATCTTCTCACACTGTACTGTGAAATCCTGGTGTAGACTGTGAGAGGAGCGTTTAGGGTGGTAGATGGTTGGCTCATATTCCTACATGAGATGAGGCAACAGAGAATAAGAGGAGGGGGACACAATGGAGGAGAAAAGGTCAGTGATTTCAGCCAATGTTAACATGATTGAGCAAGGACGATTGCACATTTGTCCTGCAGTTCACATCAAGTGAAAAAACTGTCATCCAGTGATCAGGAAGTGTGGTTTTCTGAAATCAGTTTACTGAATGAATGCTACCTTTATAGACTGGAAGCTGAGAAGAGTAGAAATCCAGATACCTGCAGTCTGAAAGGTCTGTGATGCTCAGCAGGAAGCACCTGTGATCTATGACCTTTACACAGTCACAAAGATAACTCTTAAAACCTAGGACCTACTGTCAGTAGTGTGTGTGTGTGTGTGTGTGTGTGTGTGTGTGTGTGTGTGTGTGTGTGTGTGTGTGTGTGTGTGTGCGGATGTTTGATCAAGTAAAATATTAATTTAATCTCAAAAACATAGTTATTGAGCTACATAATTACCTTTAAAGGGTCAGGTCACCAAAATTAAAATTTTAATGCACTTAATTGGAAACTCTGATAGACTTTTTTGTGCCTTGCTACACTATGACGTTTTTTTAAGCCTTACTATACTATGATGTTTTATGACATTTTTGGGCCGTAATATGCTGTGATATTTTTTCTTGTGATATTGTGATATTGTTTTTTTGAGATTTTTATGCCTTCCTATAGTGTGAGGTTTTTTGACATTTCTATCTCTTTCTGTACTATGACGTTTTGTGCCTTCCTTTACTATGGACTTTTTTGACATTTTTACGCCTAATTATACTTTTTTGACGTTTTATGCCTTCCTGTACTATGATGTTTTATGACATTCTTATGCCATACCATAATATGACATCTTTTGACGTTTTTATGCCTTGTTATACTATGTCTTTGTCCGACCTTTTCATTAATTACTACACTACGACGTTGAGGTTTTTATACATTAATATACTATGACGTTTTTTGACCTTTTTGTATGACTTACTACACCACAACCTTTTTATGCCTTTTTATACTTTGATAATTTTATATATTACATAAAATTAGCTATTTACTGGTAGCCACAGTGGAGCTGTGGTTACAACCATAGCCTTACAACTAGAAGGTTGTGGGTTCAAATTCCAGCCTTGCCATGCCATGATGTTTTTTGACGTTTTTGTGACTTACTATGCTTTGACATTTTTTGACATTTTTATGCCTTGCTATACTAGGAAGTTTTTTGACATTTTTATGACGTACTATACTATGAAGTTTTTGACTACACCACAACCTTTTTATGCCTTTCTATACTTTGATGATTTTATATATAACATAAAATGAATTTTTTTGCTGATCGCCATCATGGAGCTGTGGTTACAACTGTTGTCTTAAAACTAGAAAGTTGTAGGTTCAAATCCCAGCCTAGCCTAGCCATGCCAGGATATTTTTATGCCTTCCTGTTTTTTGACCTTTTTATGCCGTATTAAACTATGACGTTTTTTAACGTTTTTATGCCTTATTATACTATGACGTTCTTTTACGTTTTTATGCCATGCTATACTATGACGTTTTTTGACATTTTTATACCATGCTATACTATGACTTTATTAACATTATTATGCCTTATTATACTATGACATTTTATGCCTTGCTATACTAGGACGTTTTTTTTAGCTTTTTATGCCATATTATACTGTGACGGTTTTCAATGTTTTCATGCCTTGTTATATTATGACGTTTTATGCCTTGCTATACTCTGATGTTTTTTGACATTTTTATGCCGTATTAAACTGTGACATTTTTTGACGTTTTTATGCCATGCTATACTATGACATTTTTTGATATTTTTATGACTTATTATACTATGACATTCTTTTATGTTTTTATGCCATGCTATACTATGACGGTTTTTTGACATTTTTATACCTTGCAAAACTAGTATGTTTTTTGAGCTTTTTATGTCATATTATACTGTGATGTTTTACGATGTTTTTATGCCTTGTTATACTATAACGTTTTATACCATGCTAAACTATGACATTTTTTTTACATTTTTATGCATTAATGTACTATGATGTTTTTTTAACATTTTAAACGTAGTTGTTTACTGATTGCCACAATGGAGCTGTGGTTACAACTGTTGCCATACAACTAGAAGATTATAGTTTCAATTCCCAGCCTAGCCATACCATGATATTTTTATGTCTTCCTGTTTTTTGACATGTTTATGCCATATTATTCTGTGACTTTTTTTGACGTTTATATGTCTTGCTATACTATGATGTTTTTTTATGTTTTTATGCCTTATTATGCTACGACATTTTATGCCATGCTATACTAACGTTTTTTGACGTTTTTATGCCTTCCTATGCTAATGCTTTTTTTAAAAGTTTTGATGCCTTGTTATACTATGGCATTTTTTGCCTTGCTATACTACGATGTTTTTTGAACTTTTTATGCCATGCTATACTATGATGTTTTTTGACATTTTTATACCTTGCTATACTATGACATTTTTTTAAGGTTTTTATGCCTTGCTATACTATGACGTTTTTTAAGGTTTTCATGCCTTATTATACTATGACATTTTATGCCTTGCTATACTGGGACATTTTTTGAGCTTTTTATGCCATATTATACTGTGACGTTTTTCGATGATTTCATGCCTTGTTATACAATGACGTTTTATGCCTTACTATACTTTGATGTTTTTTGATATGTTTATGCCATATTAAACTATAACTTTTTTTGACGTTTTTATGTCTTGCTATACTATGAGGTTTTTTTAAAGTTTTTATGCCTTGTTATGCTACGACATTTTATGCCATGCTATACTAATGCTTCTTATTATACTATGGCATTTTTTGCCTTGCTATGCTACGATGTTTTTTGAACTTTTTATGCCATATTATACTGTGATGTTTTTTGATGTTTTTATGCCTTGTTATACTATGACGTTTTATGCCTTGCTATACTTTGATGTTTTCTTGACATTTTTATGCCGTATTATACTGTGACTTTTTTTGACGTTTTTATGCCATGCTATACTGTGACATTTTTTGACGTTTTTATGCCTTATTATACTATGACGTTCTTTTACGTTTTTATGCCATGTTATACTATGATGTTTTTTGACATTTTTATACCTTGCTATACTATGATGTTTTTTAACATTTTCATGCCACATGATACTGTGACATTTTATGCCTTGCTATACCAGGACGTTTTTTGAGCTTTTTATGCCATATTATACTGTGATGTTTTCTGATGTTTTTATGCCTTGTTATACTATGATGTTTTATACCTTACTATACTTTGATGTTTTTTGACATGTTTATGCCATATTAAACAATGACTTTTTTTGACATTTTTATGCGTTATTATTATATGGCATTTTATGCCTTGTTATACTATAACCTTTTTTTTTACTTTTTATGCCATATTATACTGTGACTTTTTTTGATGTTTTTATGCCTTACAATACTATGACGTTTTTTGACATTTTTATGCCTTGCTATACTATGACGTTTTTTGACATTTTTTTACCTTGCTATACTACAACATTTTTGGACTTTTTTTTGCCTTGCTATACTATGACGTTTTTTAACGTTTTTATGCCTTATTATATTATGACATTTTATGCCTTGCTATCCTATGACCTTTCGTTGAGCTTTTTATGCCATATCATACAATGATGTTTTTTAATGGTTTAATGCTTTGCTATACTATGACATTTTTTCACGTTTATTTATGCATTAATATATTGTGACTTTTTTTTGACATTTTTATGCCATGCTATACTGTGACGTTTTTTGATGTTTTCATGCTTTAGTATACTATGAGGTTCTTTGACGTTTTGATGCACTGCTAAACTATGACGTTTTTTGACCTTTTTATGCCAAACTACACTATGACTTTTTTTTGACGTTTTTATGCTTTGTTATACTATGACATTTTATGCCTTGCTATACTAGGATGTTTTCTGAACTTTTTATGCCATATTATACTGTGACGTTTTTTGATGTTTCTATGCCTTGTTATACTATGACTTTTTTTAACGTTTTTATGCCATGCTATACTATGATGTTTTTTGACATCTAATGCCGTACTATACTATGACCTTTTGTGACATTTTCATGGCTTATTATACTATGGCATTTTTTAAAGCTTTTATGCCTTATTATATTATGACATTTTATGCCTTGCTATACTATGACGTTTTTTGAGCTTTTTATGTCACATTATACTGTGACGTTTTTTAATGTTTTTATGCCTTGTTATACTGTGACGTTTTATGCCTTGCTATACTATGATGTTATTTGATATTTTTATGCATTGTTATACTATGACATTTTTTAACCTTTTTGTGCCATGCTATACTATGATGTTTTTTGACATTTAATGCCATACTATACTATGACCTTTTTTGACTTTTTCATGCCTTACTATACTATGACGTTTTTTGACCTTTTTATGCCTTGCTATACTATGACGTTTTTTGACATTTTCATGCCTTGCTATACTATGACATTTTTTAACGTTTTTATGCCTTATTATATTATGACATTTTGTGCCTTGCAATAATATGACGTTTTTTGAGCTTTTTGTGCCAGATTATACCATGATGTTTTTTTAATGGTTTTATGCCTTGTTATACTATGACGTTTTTTGACAATTTAATGCCTTGCTATACTATGACATTTTTTCACGTTGTTTTATGCATTAATATACTGTGACTTTTTTTGACATTTTTATGCCATGCTATACTATGACGTTTTTTGATGTTTTCATGCCTTGCCATACTATGACGTTTTTTGACGTTTTTATTACTTATTATACTATGACATTTTATGCCTTCCTATACAATGACGTTTTTTTTTTTAGCTTTTTATGCCATGTTTTACTGTGACGTTTTTTGATATTTTTATGCCTTGTTATACTATGACGTTTTATGTTTTGCTATACTTTGACATTTTTTGACTTTTTTATGCATTAAGATACTGTAACTTTTTTGACGTTTTT